TTCATAAAAACATACGCGCCTTTATACATGCATTTTCCAAAGCTAGGTAAATGCAATATAGCCTTTAATGCACAGTAAATATCTGTCTTCTAAAATGAGAAACTGAAAAGACTATAAGATGTTATACTGCATCTTGATACCAGTAACTTAAATTACCAAATAACAGTAGAGTGAAGAATGTCTGCTTAAGAAGAAGAAAGTAAAAAGGCAGCCTGTTTCCAACTTTGGTCTGCTTTTAATGTCATCCTTACTCCATCTTACTTTGGAGGCAGCTTCTGCAGGAATTAACTGCACAAGAGAAGTTCTTAGGCCAGAAAAAGAGGTTGAGTGCCTCAAGTCATGCCTATTTTTCTTTTCTTCCCCCCTGCTTCTCCAAAATGTATCAATTGGTATAATAAAAGGCATTATCTCTCCTTATACACAAATCATTCATATCTTTAAAAATCATAGCTGTAACATCACAAAGAAGCAGTTGTCCGCTAAGGATATTGGGTTGTTATAGGACAGTAATAAGAGGCCTGAACAAACTATAAAATCCAATCCCAATAATAAATAGTTCCTGAAAATCTAATCAATTAAAGACAACAGAGATTTTACAGCCTTTTTTACAAAACAGTGTAGGACAAAAAAGAGAAAACCCTGTAATGAGAGCTCCATGCATTCATAATAATGCCCAGCTGTGATATTATCTGTCTTACCTTGGCATCCTGTTTAAATTTCTGAAGAAGAATAGGCTATCCTTTTTCCTGATCCATACATATACATAACAAAAAAAACCCCAAAAATCTTGAGTCAAAATTGTAGCCTCAGTCCAACTGCAACTGAAGTAACAGAGAGAATGCCTTTGAAGTAAATAACATTTGGTTCTTTGATTTTAACCTCAATCTGGATTGATTTATTAACTGTAAGCAATGATCAAATCCTAGCTGCCAAATATCCATTCTTCTCCTCTACCCTTCTTGGTATATTTTGTCAGTACCTTTGTGATGAAGAACTCCAAATGTGTTTATCAACACTTACAGACAAAATTTGGCACTATTAGGAAACCCCTTCTGTTGGAAATTTTTTTTTTTATCTCAGTGAAAATACCATTTCTGAACATGATTCATCAGACAGCAGAGTTGTTCAGGGTACATGCACATACAGAATATATCATGCGGTCTAGATGTGCATTACTTATTGGTATAATATGGTTGCTATCTGTTAGAGTAATTAAAATCCTCGCAGATATTTTTAAGCCTTTCATCACTTTGTTGTATTCAACTCTTATCTCTTTCAAACTCCTCAAAAGTGAATTTTCCAGGACAGAGACCATCTTTTTCTACTGTGGCTACAGTATCTGGAACAGTGAGTGTCAACTACTTGAGTAGAATTTCTGGCTATGGCCCCCAAGAGAAATTAAAATTCTTTTCACCTGTAAAATCCTCCAATATTAGTATACTCGCATATTTTTATAATATATCACATGTACTCACATTTCTTTTTTTCCCCCAAATCTCAAATGAATCACTGTTTCTACTAACATCTTTAAAGACATTCTAGCTCAGAAGTAATCATGCACCTGAAGCACTGTCTATTTAAAAGACTTGAAATGCAATTTGGAGATGACATTTGTTCATCCAATTTCCAGTTACACAGAGAAGGAATTTAGCAAAATTGTAGATGGTATTGTAAGGGCCATCGTTGAAGTTAATAGGAAACAAGCCCTGCCCAATAAAGAGCATAATCCAGAAATAGACAGCAGCCTGTGACACGTATATAATTAGAGAAATTGGAGGCTTTGCCCATGAGACCATGTGTTCCACAGCAAATTCCATTTCCTTCATTCTCCCTTTCATGGTTATTGTAAGTGTAATCACTGCATGATTATAGTCCTTACATATAACATATCAGTTTCTTTTTGTTTTTTCCAATATTGGTGTTAATTGAATTCACTGAGCAAATGACAAAAAAATCCTCAGCTCAGATCTTATCAGACCAACTGACTTACAAGTCAGAAACCATATAAGGAGACCAAAAGACCAAATTTTACATCTCACAGGTATCTTATGTAATGGTTCTTTTTTCCCATAAATATAAGCCATTAGCTATTTCTTCTGATTTTTTCCTTGCTAAAAAAGTATAAAATAAAACTGACAACGTAAAATGTCTGATGTAGAAGTCCAAGTCATAAGGAGGAAGAAGTTAATTTACCAACTTCCAAGTAAAAAAAAAAAGTCTACTGGTTCTACTATAACATAGGGAAGTGAACATCAAAAAAAAACTTTATCATAAAATTCTGAAAATAATTCTGAAAAGATTAGGGCTCTCACTGCTATGCTACAGAATTTAGCTCTATTACCTGCCCTTGTTACTGAAGCACAACAGTAACCTAAGACATATATAACAGGAGGAAGGAAGGAATCATTCTGAAAAAGCCTTATGTATGATAGTGAATAACAAATTAGGCATGAGTGTCCATAGTGATACAGCAACAAAAGACTGCTGCAATTTTCAGCTGTCTATACTCCACTGTTATGCTACAGAATTTAGCTCTATTACCTGCCCTTGTTACTGAAGCACAACAGTAACCTAAGACATATATAACAGGAGGAAGGAAGGAATCATTCTGAAAAAGCCTTATGTATGATAGTGAATAACAAATTAGGCATGAGTGTCCATAGTGATACAGCAACAAAAGACTGCTGCAATTTTCAGCTGTCTATACTCAGATGGTAACAGAGCAAAGGGACTAGAGTCCCTTCTCTGTAAGTTGGGATGTTAGCATACTCAGAATTGTCCATTAAATTTTAGTTCCACACTGAATGAACTGGAAGAGGAATAATAATAATAAAAACAAGAAGTTCAGCAAGAAGCAAAACTACTAAGTGCTATGGATTTGGATGTCATGGTTGGATTCTCTGGTATCTTAAAAATGCAAATTCCAATGAGTACTTTCTCCTATGCATCTCCTCTGTGCATTCTCTGCCAGGAATATCTAATAGGTCTTTCTTTTCATTTATCTCTAGATTATTAACACAAAATAACACAATAACACAAAATACTGCACTAAACATATTGTAAAAACTGCACTGCTATCCAGTAGTAGAACTGAAACCTAAATCAGAAATACATACAGTACAATTATGTGTTCCTAGTATTTGCATGGCTGTTGTTTTTACACTATGTCTTTTTCGTTCACTTTTTTATCCTTTTGTCCAGTGTTGGGTGTCAATGATTGGTCTGATGCAACAGGAGTAAAACAGAATGGATGATTTCTAATTCAGGTAATGAAAGGAGACTTCTTGTTTTCTCATGATACTATTGAAATACATTTCTTTGTGAGTAAAGGCTTTAGGTGAATTGTCAAGCAAAACTGGAGATATTCTTATAATGAGAAGAAAATCTTCAACATATTTTCAAATCTAAGTAAATAAAGTTGTTTAAGAATTTGAAGTTGAAGGAAGAGGAACAATGAGAAGGAAATGTAATATAGAAAATATATAAAACTAATAAAAGTAGCTACTCCTTTTGAGTCCTCATCTAAATGGCTGAAACCAGACCTAGGATATATAAATGCGGAGATTTGCCTTCCTCCCACATCACCTATATGACACATCAAAAATAAATACAATATTATACAGGTAATTATTTATATAGAGTTATTAAAACATCTACTTTTACACATAAAGTGATCCAAGTTACTTGTGTATTAGTGCAACATTTTTAAGCAATACTGAATGGTATGGGTTTTTTTGTTATTATTTTCTAGTAAAACATAAAAGAAAATAATCAAAATGCACAAACCAGATTACACAGTATGTTTGATGTAGCAATTTCTAACATTCATTTAATATAGCCAAGCTGCAATGACTAATACTGCCCATGTCCGCTAGTACAAAGACCTAAAAAAGGTTCCAGACTAGATTACGTTCATGCAGGTCTCATTTTAACGGAAATTGGAGAGATGAAAAAAAGATTATAGAAGCACACCTTATAAAAACAGACCTCACAAGTCAAACTTAATAGTGAAACCATTCTCTTTCATGTAGACAACCATGAAAACAAATATCCTGTAAGCTCTAGATATATATTGTATCTTTCTACCAGATCTCTTTGCCTCCTTGAGACAGATTCCCATTCATCTCATGACTATATAATTTGATCATAGTTGAGTAAGGCACAGCAGGGGAAAGGGTCTGTCTGATAAAGTATCAGGCTCCAGGAAGATAGATAAACAATTTCATGATTTCTAGTTGTAACAGGAATGGTACAGTGGTGGATATTAAGATATTAGTCTCATCAGAATACAAATACCAAGCTTCTGCAGTTTTTTCCCTTACTAAATATGTTTTGTTTCCATTAAGTGAAAACGACAGTCTGATTATGATAAACTAAGGCAGAACGCCAGAATAAAATGCAAGGTACACGTGAAAAGTAGAATTAAATCTTTTTTGATTTGTCAATGTGAAAGTTAGTACATAACTTTTTTTTTTTTGCTTAGTTTAAGACAAGTGAAAAAAATAGAGCAAGGAAGTTTCTTTCTCATGGGGTATTTTTACTGCAAAGAAACATTATTTAAAAGTAGGTGAAACAGTTGCCTATCAAGTTGTTTCATATTTAAACCTCTTCCTTCACAAGGGACACACTGGCAGGCAACTCCTCCTCTACTGCAAGTCACTAGAGTAATGCCTGTTTGCAACGCTACCTCATTGTTCTACATGTATTAAATGAAGGCTTGGTTTGTATATATTAACACAAATATATAGCAGCCATTACTAATACAACTCCTGTTAGGTGGCAAATGTTATACTATCTTTGTAATTACTTCCTGTCTTGGATAGCTGAAAAACATGGTGATATCCAGTCATGCTGATACCTGCTTTTACTTATAAAAATTCAAAGAACAAAAATATATTTTACAACAAATTTTTAGTTACAAACCCTGGCTGTTTAAGAATATATATTCTGGAGTAAGCAATTTTTAAAGCTATCATAATATCTAATTTAGTATCGCTTACCTGTGATTCTTTTACATTTTCAACAGTGAAGTTGAACCAAACTCGAAAGCGTGGGTTACACGTATCTGGTCTAATGAACAGGTCATACTCGAACTCTGTGATGTGGTCCACCCGTCCAAGGTTACCTACCAAGAACATATGAAAAAGAATGCATTTTAATGAATAGCTGATAAACTCACCAGGAACTACACTGAGACAACTTTTAAAAACTTCTACCTCTGTTGGTTAAAATATGTAAGTATAATAAGCCTTACAACAGCACAGAATTATTTTTAAAAGACTTAACCATAGTCACAAAATAAAATACATACCAGTAAGCTACATGCATATAAACACACCAAAAAGAAGACAACATGGATTTTTATTATTCAATCAAATTGACTTTTTGTCTTCTCTTATCTGAGTATTCCAGTTAAGTGTCCTAACATCTTTTTAATTGTTTCCTTTTTTTTTTTTTTTTTCACTTTTTTGATAATGTCTCTGCAGCTCTTTTAGCCCCCACCTGTATGGATTTCTTTCCTTCCATTTGCTGCTCATGTTCAAGCACCTCTAAGATTAAAGAGTCCCCAGATTTCCACCTGGCCCCTCTGGCTGGTGCTCTGAGCGTCCCTCTCTCCCCACAGATGGGCCAGCCTTCATCTCCTTTGTGATTCAAAAGCTATCTTAATACTTTTCCTTTACCATTTGCAGCCACTATCACCTCCTTCCAAAGACACAAATAAGGCTGTAAGATTTCGTCTCAGCTTTTTCCTGGTGAATTTCATGGAATAATATTTTTGAATATAGTCAGAGCTACATCGTCCCCTATGGCATTATTCAGCAAGCAACCACACTGGCTATAGAAATGAAGTTCAGCACTGGGAAAACTTGCTAAGTGCTTTTAAATTGCTAAATTGGCATTCTTCCTTTGAAGTGTGCCAAGATTTTTAAAGACACGGTTTAGACTGTCCATTTCATTTATACACTACAAAAATAAGACTTCACATTTTCCTGATCCAATCCAAAACCCATCTCATCAGGTCTTGTAAGACAAGGCCATGCTTTAGCTCACATGCTAAATTATACTTATTAAAAAAAATAGCACTGTAAGATGACCTGGCTTTCTGGTTTCAGATGTATTTTTGGGTTTAGATATATATTTTTGGGTTGGATATATACTTTTGGGTTCAAATAGTTATTTATAATGCTATTTGAGCTAAACAATTCCCCCCTCAGCAAGTCCCATTTCACTCAATACGATTGTTCATTGGTAACGTGTTACTTAGTATAAACACAAGTAGCAAAATTTGGCTGATCTGCTGTTCTGGGGTGGAAAAAGAAGCAGGAAAAAACATTTGCAACTCTGTTCATCAATATATTTGCAGGATTTCTTCCTTATCGTAAATTGTTTCTGGCTTTACTAATTGAACATTTTTAATCTTCCCTATTTTTAATGTTATCCTCTACTTTCCTACCCACATTCTTCTTTTCAGAAGAAAATTCTCTTCACTGATTCCCTCTGCAGAAAACCGCTTCATGCTAACAATCTGTTCCTAAACACTTGCCTGAAGGATACATTTGGCATATGAAATATTTGAAAAAAACACCAGCAATATTGTACAGCTAGAATACCTTTGCCAAATATAAATAATGTCATCTGCTGTATCAGGTGTCCGTGCCCAGGTGCTGGCAGCGGGGGCTGGAGGGCTGAGCTGTCTGAGGAGAGGCGGGCCGCCCCCGTCCCCGTCACAGCCGGTTCCAGCCGGCTCCGCAATGGCCCCACCACAGGGCACAGCTGAGCCCCTCAGCTGAGGTGATGGCGCCTCCTTGAAAGTGCATATAAGGAAGGGCAAAAACACCACACAGGCAGAGCAGTGAGGGAGTCTGAGGAGAACCAGGGTTTGAGGAGGAGGGAAGGGGGTGCTCTAGGCACCAGGGCAGAGACTCCCCTGTGTCCTGTGGGGAGAGGCTGGAGGAGGTGGATGTTTCCTGAAGGACCAGTGGCCTGTGGAGGACCCACGCTGGAGCAGGCTCTCCTGACAGGAACTGTGGCCCGTGGGAAGGCCCAGGCTGGAGCAGGGGAACAGTGTGTGGAGGGAGGAGCAGCAGAGGGGAACTGCTGAGAGGAACCCCCACCCCCCTGCACTGCTCATTGCAGGGGGAGTGAAGTTGATCCTGGGAAACAGGGAAGGGTGGGGGGAAGGTGTTGTTTTAATTTCTCTTTGTTTCTTGCTATCCAAACCTATTTCAACTGGCAATAAATTAGTTTTCCCCAAGTCGAGTCTGTTTTGCCTGTGATGGCAATTGGTGAGCAATCTCCCTGTCTTTATCACAACCCATAAGCTTTTTCATCTTATTTTCTCCCCCCGTCCTGTTGAGGAGGGCGAGTGAGAGAGCGGTTGGGTGGGTGTCTAGCAGCCGGCCAAGGTCAACCCACCACATCTGCCTGACTTTAGGTTAAGTCCCTTACTCATCTAAGTGCACTTTCTGCCACAGGGGTCAAATCTATCACTGCTATTCACAACAACAGAACTTGAATCTTAACGTAAACTATAATTTCCTACAGATTATTATCCAAAGTAAATAAGAGTGGTAAAATCAAGCTATTGCATTATGATACCTTTAATTAAAGGACTTCGTTTTACTGTATTTTTCATTAAATGTCATGAACATATGACATTGTTGGGAAAATAATATTCCTCACATATTTCAGAATTTAGGTGGTCCAAGCTGTTCAACCGCATAGGTTGGATTCCAGTTGCCTCACAGGTCACAGTTTAAGCTCTCTCTGGACAAAGCTTAATGTGTGGACATCCAGAGTCACTTCAATCTGAGTTGTGCATGTGATGCTGGTGGATCCTCTAAAATTAAGGCAGCAGGCTGGATCAACAGAGACTGTGGACTAGGTCCAGCTTGTAAACTACTAGGTATACATGCCTCCCAATGATCCCAGCAATTCCAGATATGGATTAAGTTATCTGCAGCACAGACCAGAGGTGCAAATTTTGATAGAATTACTTACAAAGAAGGACATGGAAGCAATTAAATGTATATTTTAAGTTCAAAGATCATTAAAAAGTTGTACTGCAAGCCACAGGAAACTAAAAGATTATTAAGTGAATAAATAGAAACAGAGCAAAATGAGACCTTGATTTCTGACCTATCACACATTTCAGCTTCTTTTTCAACATCAAACTGATCTGAACTGTATGGGGGACAGATGGCCCACTCAGAACTACTTACAGAGTCCATAGGATCCCTAAACTAGCACTGGAGAATTGTATCGATGTCAATGAAATCACTGATGGTGAAGAGCTGGCATGCTGGAACCACGCCAAGCCAGTCTACTCTGGAAAACCTATATACTGATCTCAAATCCAGCAGAACCGTTAATTTAATCATTGTGTGCATGATTCCCTGGGACTCCCAACACTGTTTTCTCTTTATCTGTAATATTTGATTTGAATACTCACCTCCCTCTTAATGCAGTATTTTTGCTTTTGTGAATTGTATCTCACTTTATTACTTTTTGCCTACAGAACTGCCTCTTACTAGGCTCTGTAGTACACATCAGCTGCCATAGTCACCTGCAGCCATTTGCAGTTTAGCATCATTTGTACATTTCATTAGAGCACTATTTCTTCTCTGTCTTCCAGATGCTAAATAGGCTAGACCGAACACTAATGCCTTTGGTAACAAATTCAACAAGTTCCTCATGCTCAATAGACTATTGTTTGTAATATCACAGCCTTTGCTCACAACCTGCCAGTCTAATTTCAACCCACATAGCAATGTCATTAAACAAGATGGCAGTTTTGGTACAACGAAGCCTAGAACTGTAAGAACAAAACATTTCCTCGCTTTAAGAGATGCTTTGTAGAAAACTGATAATGCTACTGAAAAACATTTTTGGCGTCCAAGAAAGGATATAAACTTCCCAACGTTAGTCTCATAAACCAAGTTAACAATTTTGCATACTGCCTTCACACTGCTGTAATCATGGGAAATGTATTTATTCTAATGAGTGAGAATTATATTCCAATACCACAGGTAACACAGTGAAATGCATTCGAAACTATGAAACAGGAATTAAAACATTGGTTACGCTATTCCATTTAGCCATTATACCATTTTAATATTTTAACATTGAAAATAAACATTTTTTTCTTAAGTGCAAATAACTTCTAAACTGCTTTTATTTTTTAATAGCTCTATAAGGTTCCTTAAAATTTCTCTTTTCTTTTTTTGTTCAATGTATAGCAAGAGAGAAAACTGTTTAATGAATGGTTAGACAGTAAGTTCCTCCTATGTCACAGGAATCTCTGTGCAATTACGCAATACTTACACTCTGCTTTGCAGTACCTGAGGTGGACAGTTTCTGTGCTGAAATGATGATAAATTTAAGAGAAAGCTAGATAGCACCAATTTTGCGTAATGTACTTACCAATAATTTTCAGTCTCGATACAACTACTGTAAGACCCTTCCCATGCAGAGTTTTTATTCAGTGTACTTTGCTATCTGGTAATTTGTGATATCAGTAAGAGAGTCTGTTCATAACCATATTGGTTAAGTACGTTCTTTTAAAATCAAAGAAAACAGTCTCACACTACTAAAACATCAGCTTTGCTTTACTTTACTTTGGGTTCGTGCCCACATGAAATCATCACTGCTCCATTCAATAAATACAGAAGTTGTGTCTATGAGACTATACAACATTTTTTAAAGCGTCATGACTCCATAATTTGTGATTAGCATTATATTTGGGGGTTAACATTATAAAACATAAGGTATTAATAATATTTAAGGTACATGTAAAATTAATGAACTGATTGAGTAATGTGATCTGCAAGGGAAAAAAGCCCAACAACACTATGAGCAGTAAAATCTGAACGTATTGGCATTCTAAGACATTTCTTGTTTAATTTTTGGTTTTTTACAGTTTGGGTGCACGTCTGGTTGTCAGATGGCTTTCTGACTATATCTTAAAAGTAAAATAAACAATTTATTAGAGTAGCCAGCACTTTACAAAACATTATGGATTTTTTCTCCTATGCACTCTGAAATTAGTTGTGGGGTTTTTTTTCTATTGTTATTGTACTTTACAGAAATACTGGCACAGATCTTTTTAAACTGATGGGAAGATGT